ATACCATGAGCCAAAGAAAGCTGTTTGCATCACCTACTGTGAGAGACTTCAAATAGGGAACACTTGCCTGCATTTTATGTTAATATAGCTTGCACACATTCAGCTCAAGGCATTATGGGTAGAAGAAGCACATGTTAGCCATTGTGAGCAGAACAACAACCAAGAAGGAGGAATTCCCCCATTACTGAAAAGACGAGATGTCATGCAGGACACGGACCTGATCTGCCTCTGTATTGCAAGTTTCCTGTTTATGCCTGGGAAGGCCAAGATTCATCTGTACTTCAAAGAGGATACAGGAAGCCGACATTTCACACCTGGCCAGATGGTATTCCATGAGATAGAGTGTAGTATTTCAAATATTGGCCCAACCCATAGAATACCTGCCCCTTTTCACATGCACCAATCGGGAAAGTCATGGGATGGACTTGTAAGCAGGTGGGATTACAGATTGGCAAGGTGCCACCCACCTGGAGATTCAACTATAAAAGTAAAGACCCAAACCCTAGGTCTTTGCTAGCCACCTCCCTTCTCTACGACCTCTATCTTCTTTACTACCCCTAAGGTCCAGCTTTCTATCCAACAATCCCTTTGTCTACTTTAAGATCTCTTAGACTGCAGCCAAAGAGATCCATGCTTGCTTAGCTGGTTCTAGCAGGTGTGATTTAGCTTAAACCCCTAGGTATTACTTTCTACCCCATTCCCATTGCTACAGACAAGACTTCTGGAACAGGCGAGTATAAACCGAAATAGACACCTTCCTACCTCCAAGTAAATAAGAAACTAACTAAATATCTTTCTGTAACTCTAAAGGAACCTTGCGTGTATGCTATTGAGAGACTGATTATTTTGTATGTGTGACTTTGATATTGCCTAGTAAAAAGATTATTTGTTTTGGAAAAACACCCGTGTGGTTTACATTACTGGGACTCTGGGTTCGGACACGACCCTGGTATAGCTGGCCAGGACTCACGTTAAAATTTAGTTGGCCTCTGCTGTAAATAAAGCAGTTGGCGTAACAAGGGCCTGTAAGACAGAGATATTCCACCAGGCATATGGTTGAGGACAGGAACGGTTTCCATCTATCCTGCCTCCTTCCTCTCCCCCCACAGGGTAAGGATATAAATGGATGTGTTTTAAGCGTCATCTGAAACTGTTATCAAATTGCTATTGTTTTAACTGAAGAAACAAGAAAATTTTCTTCAGATATATGAGAAACAAATGCAAGATAAAAGAGGCGATGGGCCCACTGTTGGATGAAAATGGAGAAACTCTGACAGAGGACAGAGAGAAAGCAGAAAGGCTCAATGCCTATTTTGCCTCAGTTTTTCCCCTGAAGAAGAGAACAGGCTCACCTAGAGATGGTAGTACGCAAGGCACAGCATCTGGGCTGCTGGTTGACATGGACAGAGAGGTAGTTGAGAAGCACCTGGCTGCACTGAATGAGTACTAATCCCCCAGGTCAGATGGTATGCACCCAAGAGTTCTCAAAGAACTTTCTAGAGAGCTTGCAGAGCCTTTGTCCATCATCTTCCAGACCTCTTGGAGGACGGGAGATGTGCCACAAGACTGGAGGAGGGCAGATGTTATCCCAATTTTCAAAAAAGGGAGGAGGGATGACCCAGAAAACTACAGGCCCATCAGTCTGACCTCTGTTTCAGGAAAGATACAGGAGCAGATTTTAAAGGGATCGATCTGCAAGCATCTAAAGGACAACTTGGTGATCTGGGGAAGTCAGCATGGATTTGTCCTCAACATGTCCTGCCAGACCAAACTCATTTCCTTCTTTGATTAAGTGATGAGCTTACAGGATCGAGGGAATGCTGTTGATGTTGTTTACCTGGATTTCAGTTAAGCTTTTGATGTTCCCCGTGATGTTCTGATGGGTAAACTAGAGGACAGTGGACTGGACTCTAGGATAGTTAGGTGGATAGGGAACTGGTTGGAGAACCTCCCTCAGAGAGTAGTCGTGAATGGCATTTCATCTAAATGGAGGTGTCCAGTGGGGTGCCACAGGGCTTGGTTCTGGGCCTGGTACTTTTCAATATTTTTATAAATTATCTGGAGGAGGGTGTGGAGGGGCTATTCATTAAATTTGCAGATGACACCAAATTGGAAGGAGCAGCAAACACACCAGAAGATAAGAGATAGAATTCAACGAGATCTGAACACACCGGAAAAGTAGTGGGATGTGAACAAAATGCAATTTAACAAGGATAAGTGATGAGTTCTACATCCGGGTAACAAAAATGAGGAACATGCATCCTGGATGGGAGATACACTTCTGGCTAGCAGTGTGTGTGAACAAGGTCTTGGGGTATGGTGGACCAAAAGTTAAATATGAGCAGCCAGTGTGATGCAGTGACAAAAAAGGCTAATGCGATCTTGGGGTGTATCAAGAGAGGCATAACATCCAAATCAAAAGATGTGATAGTCCCACTGTACACTGCATTGGTCAGGCTGCACCTGGAGTATTGTGTACAGTTCTGGAGGCTTCACTTCAAAAAGGATGCAGACAGAATGGAGAGGGTGCAGAGGAGAGCAACGAGGATGATTGGGGGCCTGGAGACCAAGCCCTATGAGGAAAGGACTTCAGAATGTTTACTCTGGAGAAGAGGAGGTTGAGGGGGGACATGATTGCAGTATTCTTGGTGCGTGGTGGGGGGGCAACAGTGGGAGGGCTTCTAGTGTCCTGGCCCCACTGCTGGACCTCCTGATTGCATCTGGTATTTTTGGCCACTGTTCTCTCTCTAAGTATGTGAAGGGCTGTCACTTAGAGGAGGGCAGGCAGCTGTTCCTGGTGGCCTCAGAGGAGAGGACTTGCAATAAGGGGCTTAAATTAAGGGTGAGAAGGTACCAGCTGGATAGGAGGAAAAACGTTTTTACAGTAAGAGTTGTGCAACAGTGGAATCAGCTGCATAGGGAGGTGATGAGCTTCCTCTCACTGGCAGTCTTTAAGCAACGGCTGGACAAACTCTTGTCGGGGATGCTCTAGGCTGAGCCTGCACTGAGCGGGGGTTGGACTAGATTGTCTGTATGGCCCCCTCCAACTCTATGGTTCTAATTGTTTTTAACTAGATCTGTGAATGTAGTTATTGAAATGTATTTAATAGAAATGGTGTTCACCACCCTGAGCCCTGTGAACAGGGAAGGCTGGTCTACAAGTCAAATGAATAAATAAATAAATGTGGCAGGACTCTAATCTGGAGAAGTGGGTTTGATTCCCCGCTCCTCCACATGAAGCCAGCTGGGTGACCTTGGGACAGTCAGAGCTCTCTCAGCCCATCAACGAGTTCAGCTCGCCACCTAGTGCTGCAAAACACTAAGGAGTAAGAACTTCAGCTGCCAGACAATCCTTGGATCTCCTGGCTATACAACACACACTGCTATATGATATCACCATCATCATCATCCCCGGAAATCTCCAGCTTCCACCTGGAGGCTGGCAACACACACACATATATACACTTTAAGTGTTTAGTTTCCTAGCAACTCACAAAACAACAGAATGCTGTTGAAAATGTTTCCTTCCTATATGTTAGGTGTTCTTGCTTTACAGCTTGTGCATGGGTATAGAAACAGGTCCACACCACTCTACTTGCAGAATCTCAAAGCTCTGAATACTACTGCTAGGAGGAAGCACCAGGAGAAGTCCTCGACCTATATGTCACTTGCTGGCCCTCCTAGGGGAATGACAGGCTGCTGTGTGAAAGTGTGGTGGATTCAGATGGAGCACTGGTCTGACCCAGCAGGCTCTTACTTACATTCTTATGTTTTGTTCAGATACAATGAGCTGAAAAAGACAGGCCTCCATTACTTCTATCCATATATTTATATTTTAAATAGGTACAATTGTAATAACTAATTTGAATTTTACTTAAGGACTGTTTAATATAAAGTGCCCACTTTAGGCTGGCAAACAAATCACCAATGGGCAACTAGAGAATGCATGAATGATAATGTACAGACGTGGCTTTTATTATTTATTCATAGAGAACAGTGGGTTTTGGTGTGCGGCTTTGAAAAATGTTCAAACTGGTAGAATATAATAAAAGCACAGTGGAAATTCTATTTCATTAACTTTTAATCATAAATCACTCTTTAAAATAAAACATAAAATAAAAGTCTGTCATAAGCACTTAGGTCTAGAGAAGAATCGCAGAAAGGGGGAAAGAAGTACTGTTGCCGTACTCGGTTTTCTGCTCCCTGTCACTTGCCCAGCTGAAGACAGATAACACAAACAGAGCCCATGATCTCTATCCAGACTTCTAACACTGAAAAACACATAACCTGGGTCTAGCTTGGTTTAATATTATTATTATTAGACACTTATACGCTGTCTTTCTCCTTTACAGAACTCAAGGTGGCTTACAACATAAACAGAACAAAAAAATACAATAAAAACATGCATTAAAATCCTAATTTACAGCCAATAAATAGAGGAAACTAAACTAATCAAATGTCACCCTGAATAAAAACTGTCTTCAGCTGCCTCCTGAAGACTGAAAGTGAGGGGGCCAGGTGCACCCCCCTGGGGAGGTTGCGCCATAATCATGGGGCTGCCAATGAAAAGCTCTCTCTTGTATTACCTTATTGGTTTAAACTATCTCTTAAAATTTCAATTTTTTTGCCAGAACTTTTCTAATCAATTTCTAATCAGATCATATAAATAAATACCTCTGCAATGTTTTCTTACTTAATCTACACTATTCTGCATGTTTTGGAATCTGGGTTGCCATTTTTTTGCCTCCTCTATGCTCATAAATTCTCCTTTTGATACGTAAAAGCAGATGTTTCAGGAAGTGAGGGGCAGCTGCTTAGTCTCAACCAAATTCAATATGGCTTCAGGGAGCACTCCAGTGTCATCTCTGCATTATTAAATTCCACTATCCTGAGACTTTTCCCTAGATGGCAGCTTTTCCCCTTTTGCTGTCTATCTTTGAGACATCTCCCTTCAACTTACACTTTTAAAAATATAAGAAATATATATTTTAATAACGTACCTGTCCAATTATAAGTGGGACTACAACAGTCATGAACAGCTGTGAGAATATAGATGTAAAAGGCACAGAGGATGATGACCCGAGCTATAAAAGAAAATGGAAGGGCAATGTTAGTAATCTGGAACTTTAACTGCTAACGAAATACCAACGACCTTGAATGTTTGGAGATACTGAAGCTGTTTAAATCTGTATTTGCATTTATACATATAGCAAATGAACATTTTGACAATGAACATCAGCATGCCCTGATTCAGCAAACTCTTTATACTGACTTCATAGTACGAATGCCAGACCCCCTAGTGGGGATCTCCCGCTGCCAGGCCCCACCTTTCCGCCACTGATCGGCTGGCCAGTGGAGGGACTTACCCCCCCCCAAGAAAAAGGGAGGGACACCAACTTTTCAGCAACATGCTTAAGTTACTCCACCGTGACTGGGAAGTGACATGGGCATGTTGGGGCAATGCTCTGGGTTTTGGGCAAAAACTCTATAGTCACTTCTGGGTCAAGTTTGAAGTCATGAGGGCATGTTGCTGAAACATGGAATGAAGCACTCTGCTCCCGGTAAGCCCCCCCCCCCCCATCGGCAGCCCAAAGGGACCTGGCAACCCTACTTCATAGATATATCATTCAAAATTATATAACCAACATACATAATCATTCCCAAGAACTGTTTCAAAGTCCAACTGTACTGATATAGTCCTATTGCAAAAAAACCCACCAAGCAGTAACTAGTCACAGATTACAACAAGACTACATAACATTGACAAAGTGCTAACAAATGTTGGTCTAATACAGTTCTGAATCCCTTAGGATTCCACAGTATGCCCTGGTTACAATCTATATTGTCCAAACACTCTAGAAATGTAACACTAGTTTACATCTGGAACTATCAACAAAAATATCCTTAGTTCATATTAGGATGAGGGAGGAAAGAAATTGGGGTCAGCAGTCTCTCACTTCCCAAAAAAACATTTCTGATCCCTTCCCTCCTAACTATGGTTGGCTGCCTTGGAAATTAACTCATTTAATTCTAGCACAAATATATTACCTGCGACTGTATGGGAAAGGAATGGGGATACTGATTCTCCCAATATTTTCCAGCAAGTCTAGTCTCTGCGACTTGGTAAGCTCCCCACCATTTATGATAACTTACTCAAATGGGTAATCATTACTGAGACACAGCAGCATCAGAATTAATCACATGGTTAAGGTCTAAATTTTGAGCTACAAAAAGGAAGCATTAAGGCATATTTTACAGCACAGTGATCAATGTATCCTGAAACTCTTTTGCAACTCTACTATCAAAGCCTCTCTAAAATAGTATTACTAAATTTAACAGCGGCTATCAATCCAATTACTGAGCTTATTCTATTTCAGCTTTACAAATAAGGACAGAGCACCAGAAGATATGAGATATTTTTTTCTTGGTATAAGAAGTCATATCCCTCAGATGGAAATTCTTCACTCTTACCAGGGCTCAGTTCTCTGTAGCAACCCCAAATACAATCTGCATATATATTCTGGCATAGATTCCACAACCTAAATGTGATTAAGATGATGCAAGGGTGAAAACATGCTAAGTATGCCTTGTGGAGCACAGCTCAGAGAGCTGCCTCTGTAGCAGACTTAACTCATGTGAAGTGGGATTGCCGTGTGGCACCACTGAAATGAAGTGTTTCATCTGAGTCCACTAATGCAATTGTGGCAGTTACAGATGCAGCATCTTCCTTGGAGGATACTGCAGCTGTGATATTTGTCCTCTTTGCCCAAAAAAGAGAGGGGGGGGAGCTGAACAGTTGGTTTGGGAAAGAAGTAAGGGACTGAAAATGGATTTTCACTGGAGAAAAACAGGGAATAACTTTACAAAAGCCATTAATAGTGATGCTACTGGGATATAAGTGAAGGCATTGTAATATTGCATGGAAATAGACACAATTTTATATCCATTGTTTTCAGCCCTCCCTGCATGTGTATGTTTATAGCCTTGGATGCTCTTAGATCTAAAACTGTGTCTATTAACCCAGATTGTGGCAGCATCAGGAGTATTTTCTACCAACATCTGGTCAGAAGACATTTGCAGATGTAAAGGAGAAGACCACCTGTTTGGTGTATCAGGCCCAGAGCATTTCTACACTTGTCTTCATCCATCTGTTCTGTAATCCCAATCCTATTACATTGCCTATCAAATATCTCATCCTATTGATTGCACTGAGGTGTTAAATAAATAACTAAAAATAAATTAAGAAGTCCAACCAGGCCAACTTGAGTTTTTCCACTGTTTTTTTCTCAGCAAGCAAATTCTTAAGAGGTTTTACCCAAAGTTATGTGAGCTTGTATGGCAGCACCGCAGATGGACACTTTTACTTTAATTTTGGTGAGTTTTGACCTTTGGTGTCTGGGAACTAATTGCCATAAACAAGTGCTCCCTTCCTTCTGGACATTTTAGTTTTGTGACTGGATCCATGACCCATACTCACATTAGTAAAACTGGTCAAGTGGGATTTGAGAGACTTTGAGATTAAAATGTGAAAGCTAAAGCAAGTTTACCTTGTGCTGAAATTTGTCTAGAAAACTAAGGGAGTTTGGTAACGTGCATGCAATGGCATACATTCAGTGTTAAAATTGAATGGTTACATAAATAGCATCAAGCAATGAAGGAGGAGGTGTAAGTAGGGATGGGCATGAACATTTGTCACAAATCTAAATTTCCAATGAACATTGCCAGTCGTGCCCATCCCTATCCACGACCCTCCACGTGGTGTGATTTCAGAACTTTGTGGGGTTCATGGTGGGAAGCGGGGAGTGAGTGAGGGGGATTGCTGAAATGACTTGCATCCGCTTCAGCCTGTTAGGGAACATCCCCTTTAAATGGCTTTTGTAAGATCTTCCCCCCACCTTCCATTCTGCTGGCTTCAGGGAGCTGCTGCCAGCAGAAAGGAGGGAGCCTAGATCTCAGATCTTCCCCTGAAACTCATGAACCATGAACCAGTTTGTTAACCAGGAAGGTTTGTGGAGGTTCATGGTTCATGAGACCCCATGAACCTCCATTTTCCTAGGAAGATGCTTTCTATACAGACTAAGCAAGGGTTCAGTGTGGGCAGCCATGGATGCCAAGCTGGAGCTGCTATATTTTTCACTGGCTCCCATAAAAGCACAAAAAAAATATAAAACGAGTCGGGGGAACGCAAGGACTTGCAGTGGACATCACATTTCCCCCTCCCCCAGCATTTTCCCTTCCCTGGCAGCTCCTATGGCCTTCCTTTTCCTGCTTCATTTTCTCCTTCCCACCCAATAGCCAACCTACCTTTATCTGCCCCCTGCCTTCAGCTTTCTCTCCTTCCCTACCCAACATCCTCTCCAGGGAAAGTCTAGCCAGGCTGTGTGGCAGCCTGTGGTGTGCCAGGATGCATGGTGGCCAGGCCCAGTTGTGGGCTGAGCTGTGCTGTGCTGTGTCTTTTGCTGCCAGGTTAGTCCACAGTGCATGGATAGTGGGTTTCCAGTAGTTGCTTCTGGTGAATCGTCCTTCATCAGGGTGCATGACTGTGAGAGGTGGGTTGTTTTCTGGGGCAGTTAATGAAGCTCAAGATAATGAAGCTCAAGACAATGTATCCACCTGGATTGAATCGAGACCTAGGTTTCCTGTCTCATTATCAATGCTGATTTCTCCACTCTTATTACCCCTCTGCATATCTCACCTAAATCCAATCACACTTGCTACTGTCATTCACCTGCTAATATCATTCGGCATCTGAAATCACTCCACTTTCCAATAAATAGGACAGATGGACTCCCATTCTAGCTGTATCTGAAGAAATGAGCAGTGACTCATGAAAGCTCATACCCTGCCACATATTTTGTTAACCTAAGGTGCTACAGTATAACCTCAGTATATTCTCCTGGGGTGTTAAACCAGAAAGCTGAAACATTTTTATTCTCAAAGACTTCTGCCAGACTCTGTTTACTGTATCAAGATGTTTTACTGTAATTATCTGTGGCTGTTCTTATCTAATAGTTTTTAGAAGGTTTGTATGACACCTAGAGTGCTTTTTGCTGCAAAGGCAGCTAATAAATTTTATAAATAAATAATGCCTTTGCTTTTATAGTTATTGAAAAGTTAATACATTTATCAAGGGATCTCTTGTTTGAGAGTAATGTAAATATTTTGTAAAACAAAAAACAGATGTGTTTTAATCAGTAGGCAAAAGAACAACACAGAGGGCAAAGGATAAATTTTAAGCACCATAACAACTCTCTCTTCTGCTTACCAAGCTTTTCTCCTAAATAGTTATATTGAGATGCAATGCTAGAAAAAAACAGCAGGCAAACTCCCAAATGAGTTTTCCTGAACATCTGAGAAATGCAGCACCTTAAAAACATTGCCAAAACAGGCAAATACTAACAACATTATGCTAAAAATTAGTCAATTAAACTTATAGTGCCTTTTCCCCTTCTCACCATAACCCCGTCATACCTTGCCCAATCAGATGCTTCTATAATTACGGCCTAAATCTCCACTATACAAACAGTACAAAGACCTACTTTTCTGTCAAAATGAAAGCAGGAAATTTACTGTTAAAGAAAAAAAAATGGTATTCAACTTACATGGAATAGCAAACAGAAATGGTAATACATGACAGATATGTGAAACTTTGGTAGTTTATAAAAAATGTAAATTAGCATTCTAAACCCTCCTTTTAACAAGACACTTTAAAGTGATTATTCTGCCACTACTGCTATGTTGCTTATCAGCTGTTTATACTATACATGACGGGGACCCGCGATACTCGCGGGGGGGGAGAAGAGCTCCGTCTCCTCCATCCCCCCCGCTCGATTTCCCCGAGGAGGCGGCGGCGGCGAGGCCGGTCCTCCCCCCCTGCCCGGCTCCGAGGCGGCGGCGGCGGAGAGGCCGGTCCTCCCCCCCCTTTGCCGGGCTCTCCCCCCAATTTTTTTTCTTACTTTTAGCATTTTTGTGCACACGTGGGGACTGGCCCACGTGTGCACAAACCTCCCCCTCCCCCCCAAGTGCCCCCGGAGCGCTGATTTAGCGATCCGCACTCCGGGGGCAACTTGGCTATTAGATATAT